TTACGACGTCGGAAGTATTAGAATTGGCTTTGCTGATTTATTAGAATGAAATTAACTCACAAGCGGACAAAAGTTATTGAATAAAATGCTGCTCTTGTATTTCTGTTGACGTTCTGAATGCGTGAGGAGGAAAAAAATATTCATTATCATTGAAAGTAACTTGAAAGTTAAACACATAAACCGAAAAATCAAGCTGATTTTTAGATAAAGGGGATAAGCCGGCTTTAGAACAGAGAACGCTGAGCCAGTAAAAACGCATCTACCATGAATAGCATAACTGTCCGAATATTCGGGATGAGCATCCAATATTAATGACGCTAACTGGATCCTTTGTATAGCTGCAGATAGAGGCCACTTACAGGCATGCCAAGCTTTACGCTTCGGACTTACACGTACCGTGTTCTTACCTGCCGCCTTTTTGATGCAAGGGACTTTCGGTGGCCATGCAAGAGGTCATCTATTTCCCCACGGGTGAACGTTATTAAACGACGTTACAAGCTGCCGCCAAAACAAACAACACGTCTTGCTTATCGGATTTTATTATGCGCTTTTGCATATATGCAAATTGCAAAAACGCATTTTGGCAACAGGCTGTCTGTGTGTTCGCTCTTATTGTCACCCATTTTCAACTCGAGAACCAGAAAAATAAGAAGGCTGAAACTTTGGAAGTATGTGCCCATACCATGCGTGACCCCCCTGTTTTAATATTATCGTCCGCCTATGCCTGGGTGCCACATACGGACGTTTTAAAAAATGTTCAAATTTTTTGGCGGAAAAGCGATCTCGGAAGCCAGACAGTGTAAGGGCCTGAAACTTTGCCGGGATATTCCCTGTGCATATGTAAGTTAAAGATTTCAAATTCAGCTTCCAGGAATACGTGGTACTCATGTAAGGGCGTATGAAAGTTTTCGCGAGAAAATTATTAACTCAGAAAACAGAAAAGACAAAAAGCTGAAATTTTGGGGTAATGTCCCTTGTCCAAGTGCAAATTATTTTAAATCCAGCCTTCAGGTATGTATGCCTCTCACGACGAGCAAGTGAAAGATTTGGTGGGAAAATTGTCAACTTTGTAATCAGGAAAGCTGGAAGGCTGAAATCTTAAGGGAATGTTCCCCGTCCACATGCAGTTTAAACATTTCAAAACCAGCTTCCCGAATACGTGGGATATTCACGTACGAACATGCGAAAGTTCTGGCGCGAAAACTACTAACTTTGGAACAGAAAAGCCAGAAAGCTGAAATTTTAGGGTAATGTTCCTTGTCCAAATACAACTTAAATATTTCAAACCCAGCTCCAGGAGTGCGTGTTTCTTATGGACGGGCACCTGAAAGTTTTGACAGGAAAATTGGTCACTGAACAGCTAGGTTACTTTCAAAAAAGGGCCGTTAAGCGGAAATTGTTCATTTACTTTATGAAAAATTTGTGGTGACTTAGACTTACGCCAGTGAACGCAAAAGGTAGGTGTAAAGCACTAACCATTTATGCAGTTAATGACCTGAACACTTTAAGTCTGGTGCAAAAATGCATGACCGCACCGGCAAGCCGGATGCGTTCCAACCTAAGTTTTCTTATACGGTTGCAGTGACAGTCCACACGCCACTCATCTGGCAGTAATTCCCGTTGCTTTTTATGTTTTTTTGCACCTATGCAAAATTGGAAAAACGCATATTGGCAAGAGGCTGTCTGTGTTTTTTTCGCATTTTTGTCGCCCATTTTCAACTCGAGAGCCAGAAGTGCTAGAATTAAAACTTCGGGAGTGTGTGCCCAACACCTGTGTGACCCTCCCATTTTAATATCACCACCCGTGCGCGCTTAGGTTTCCGTGTAAGAACGCCCAAAAAAAACAAGCAAATTTTTTGGCGGGAAAGCGATCTCGGGAACCAGGCAAGATAGACAGCGGAAGCTTTGCATGGATATTCTCTACACATCCGTGAGCTAAAGATTTCAAATTTAGCTCCTAGGTGTCAGTAGTTCACAGTTACGAGCACGTGGAAGTCTTGGCGGGAAAATAGCTAACTCGGTAACCAGAAAAATTGAAGCGCTGAAATTTTAAGGAGATTTTCCCTCCCAAGCAGAATTTAGAGGTCTCAAATTCAGCCCTCAGATGCGCGTGGTACTCACGCACGGGCATGTGAAAGTTTTGGCAGGAAAATCGCTAACCCGAGAAGTATAAAAGCTGGAAAGCTGAAATTTCAGGGGAATATCCCATGCCCAAATACAACTCAAAGGTTTCCGATTCAGCCTGTAGGTGGCGTGGTTCTCGTGTACGGGTACTTAAATTTTTCGACGGGAAAATTGCTTTTTGAACAGCTAGGTCATTTTCAAAGAACGACCATCAAACGGAATGGTCTATTTTCGTTTATGCAAAATTTATGAAGATTTACGGTAGTGAGCGCACAAGGTATGTGTGAAGCAACAACCATTCATGCAGCTAACCTAAATTACTTCAAGTCTGTTCCAAAAACGCATGATCGCACCGACAAACTTAGTGCGTTCCAGCCTGGATATGATTATGAAAAGACTCCCTGCATTCCCAATCGCTTTGCCACAGCCGGCTTCAATACATCGCTTTTCTCAATGACTAAACATCGCACTCATACCTTACTGCGTTCAAAACATTGGTACTGAAGAGAAACATTGATGCGATTCTTCCGATTCGAAATTTTAGGGACATGGTTGATGCTGTAAGGTTTGCGTCATCTGCGTGCACACTCCGACCCAAGCTATACTTTATCCATTTGCCGAGAGCTGTTCGCAAACGCGACTGTGAACGCGCAAAGTTCAGTTGGAAAAGCTGCCAACCATTATGCAGACTAGTCAGCTCAGCTTGCGAACTGCCATCTTGGGGTACAGCAACTGCATGTAATGCTGTTCACCTGCATTACACCGTTTTTTATCTGTGTGTGCACTGTGATGTAGAGTTTGTTCAACAATGTATACTCGCTTCCATGACAGCTTCCACACATTTCCCACCAGTTCCTATTACATCTAAATCATTGGCGGCGCGCATCGGGCAGGCCCGTGCGATCATGCGTTTTTGCAGTATTTTGTGCTGTTGTAAGGTTGCTTGGAGTCACTAATAGCTAGAATTTATGGCGCGTTGGTCCTCGACCTTCAGGAAATTAATTGCGCACTACATAGTACTTGGTCAGGGAAAATCCCTGCAAAATTTCAGTTTTTTTTCTTTTCTGGTCCTCGAGTTAGCAGTTGTCTTGCTAAAAATTTTCACGAGATCGCATGTGAGAACAATACATACCTCTGGGCTGAATTTGAAAACTTTAAGTTGCACGTGGACTAGGAACATCCCACTAAAATTTCAGTCTCCCAGCTTTCCTGGTTCTCGAGTTAGCGATTTTTCCGCCAAAAACTTTCATGTTTCGCTCGTAAGAACCGTGCATGACTGGGGGCTGAATTTGAAACCTTCGAGTTCTATGTGGGCGGGGGACATAACCGCAAAGTTTCAGCTTTCTAGCTTTTCTGGTCCCCGAGTTACCGATTTTTCTGCCAAAACTTTCATGCGCTCATGCGCGGTACCTGGGGTGGCACTTGGGCGGGGAACCCATTGGCAAAATTTTGGTGCCAGAGACTGCTTGGTTACCGAGTAGAAATACCCAGACCGACGCACACACACACACACAGACACACACACACTGGGGTCGTAATAATATGCGTTTTTGCTTATATGCAAATGCAGATGTTCCTAGCACAAGTGTGAGTGTGTATGTGCGTGTGTGTGCGTCTGTCTGGGTATTTCAACTCGGCACCCAAGCAAGCTCCGGCGCCAAAATTTTGCCGGTGGGTTTCCCGGCCAAATGCCACCCCAGGACTGCGGGACCAACCCTCATGCAGGTCTGGGCCCTGCGAGGGAGTGAAAGTTTTGGCGGGAAAATCGCTAACTCGGGAACCAGAAAAGCTAGAAAGATGAAGTTTTGATGTCTTGTCTCCCCTGTACATAGAAAATAAGGACTTCAAATTCAGCCCCCAGGCGTGAGTGGTTCATGCGTATGGCCCGGTGAGATTTTCTGGGGCGAAAATCGCTAGCTCGTGAACCAGAAAAGCTGAGGAGCTGAAATTTCCAGGGAATGTTCTTAGCACATGTACAGCTCAAATTTGTCAAATTCAGCTATCGTGCGTGCGTGGTTCTCACGTACGACCCCATGAAAATTTTTTGGGCGAAAATGGCTAACTCTGGAGCCAGGAAAGTTGGGAGGATGAAATTTTCAGAGAATGCTCCTAGCACAAGTTCAAATTTAAATTATCAAATTTAGCCCCTCAGCTTGTTGGTACTCACACACCGCCCAGCGAAAATTTTTTGCGGGAAAATAGCTAACTCGGGAACCGGGAAATCTGGGGGTTGAAATTTTCAGGGGATGCTCCCAGCACAGTTACAACTTACAGTTCT